CATTTTTCAAATTCAAATTAATTATTCACTGTAAGCTCTTTACCAGCTGTTTTCTGGAATGCTTCAGTCCACCTGACCTTGTGAGGGTTGAGTTTCTTTGTACAGTTTTTATGACACTTGGATTTACAAAAACTGAACACCTTGCAATTTTTTCGGAAAATATCATGCTGTGGCAGGGGCATATGGGCCCCAAACAGAAAATAATACTTCTTGATATACATGTTGAACTCGCGTAGATACCCATCACTCAAATACCAAATTTGAAAGGAAGCCATACTTAATTGTTTTGTATGTATTTCATACTTTAATAAGATGGTTCCTAGCATCCTCTAAAACTGACCAATGACTTTTTGTTTTTTTAAATTTTCTAATATTGCTACAAACTCTTAGAAATACTTTATGTATAATTCCGTTATAGTTATCCTCATTGATGTTTACTAGTACATTGTCCCATCTTTGGCCCTATAGCAGCTTATTCCAGTTGATTCCTGAGTCCCTAGGGTCTACATGACCCTAGAGTAGTCCTTGGTTCTTCTACATTCTTTGTGATATACATGTTCCAAGTGCGTATTGTACATTTCTTGTCCTGGACCTGAAGCCATCTAGGAGTTTTGGTTCCTTGCTTTGGAGAGTGATATGAGACAATTTGAATAATAAGTGGTGCTTGCGTGGCTGCTAGATAGTTATTGTTTTTAGGCCTTTTTTTTTTCTCTCCTCCCCTCCAGCTTTACTGAGGTATAATTAACCAATAAAATTGTAAGATATTTAAAGTCTATGTCATGATAATTTGATATAGACATACATTATGGAAGGATTTCTCCCATCTGGTTAATTAACACATCACCTCACATATTTATATTTTTTTGTGTGTGAAAACATTTAAGTTCCATTCAGTAAATTTCAGTGATGTAGTATTATCAACTATAGTTATCGTGTTTTATACATTTAGGCCTTTTCATTGGATAGAGCTAGGGTATTGCTACATGATACAATATGATAAAATACAAATTGGTTTCAAACTAATACTTTCAGTTTAAATCCAGAACTACAGATTTTTTCCTTAACTTTGTCTCACATCAGAATTTCTTTTGAACCATGCCAGAAATCTCAGTTCTCAATGAGAAACATAATTAATGACTTCCTTTATGCCACATTACACAAACAACAGTCTCAGAATAATAATTTCAAAACTACCGTCAGCAGTAAAGTGATTGAGAACAGTTTCAGTTTTTTTTTCTCTTTCATTATTTTTATCCTAAGGATAAATCCCATTAAGAGAATATAATCAGCCTTGGCCAGTGGTTCTCAGTGGTTAGAGTGTCGGCCGGAAAACCGAAGGGTCTTGGGTTGGTTCTCAGTCAAGAGCATGTACCTGGGTTGCAGGCTGGATCCTGCACTCCAGCATGTGCAGGAGGCAACCAGTCATTCTCTCTCGCTCTCGCTCTCTCGCCCTTGCTCTCTTTCTCCCCCTCCCTCCCACTCTCTAAAAATAAATGGAGCCCTGGCTGGTTTGGCTCAGTGGATAAAGCATCAGCCTGCAGACTGAAGGGTCCCCAGTTCGATTCCTGTCAAGGGCACATGCCAAGGTTGTGGGCTTGATCCCCATTAGGGGCTGTGCGGGAGGCAACCGATCAGTGATTCTCTCTCATCATTAATGTTTCTATCTCTCCCTCTCCCTTCCTCTCTGAAATTTAAAAAAAAATTATACACACACACACACACACACACTAAAAATAAATGGAAAAAATATTCTCAGGTGCGGATTAACAACAACAAAAAAGATATACAATTTCAATTTCAATTACTACAAATAAATAATAATAAAAAAGAACATACAATCAGCCTTGGCAGGTGTGGTTCAGGTGGTTGGGCATCGTCCAGTGCACCAAAAGGTTGCTGGTTGGATTCCAGGTCAGGGCACATGCTCAGCTCTGGTAGGGGGCATGCAGGAGGCAGTTGATCAATGTTATGCTCTCACATCAGTCTCTTCCCCTCTCTCTAAAAAACATATACAATCGAATGACTGTGCTTTAAAGTAACTTTTAGAATGTTTCCTTTCTGGTTAAGTCACTAGTTTGAATTACATGAGGCTCCTTGATTAATTTTACATTTAATTTTGGTGAATTTCTTTTTAAAAATTTAATTTTATTTCATCATTGTGTAAATTATTACATAATTTCTAAAACAAATCTACAAATCAAAGTAATGTTTAAAGAATTTTATCCATGTTTCTTTCAACTAACCCACTCACCCATCCTATATAATAAAAGCATAGTATGCAAATTGTCCCCTCAACTGGGAGTTGTCTGGGAGTTTGATCAGGGGGTGGGGTTGGCGGGGAAGGGGGGGCGGGTGGAAAGGGAGGAAGGCCCTGGCTGCAGCAGCGGCAGGTGGCCAGGGGAAGGGAGGGAGTACCTGGGCAGCAGCCGGCAGCCACTAGGGCCTCTAGTATGTAATAAAAAGTGTTGCCTTGGCTAGTGTGTCTCAGTGGTTACAGTGCTGGTGTGTGCACTGAAGGTTCCATTCCTAGTCAAGGGCACATACCTTAGTTGTGGGTTTGCTTCCTACCCCCGTTCTGGGAGTGCAAAAGGCAACCAATTAGTGTGTCTCTCACATCAATGTCTCTCTCCCTTTCTCTCCTCTCTGCCTCCTTCTCACTGTTTTCTCCCTCCCCCCTCTTTTCTACTCTCTCTGAAAAGCAATGGAAAAAAATGTCCTTGGATGAGGATTAACAACAAAAAACAAACAAATGTTATGATTTACTCAAGCATATATTTTTCTAACTTCCGTTCTAGTGAAATAATAGCATTCTATAAACATATTTTTCCATCTCGTTTTTTTCACCTTAGCAGTATTCTTGGGATCATGGTGTAGTGGTAATAAAGATATTCCTTAACATTACTTATTATAGTAGTCACTACAGGAAATACTCTCCAAGACCCCCTCAGATGATATCCGAAACTGGGGATTGTACCAAATCATTCATATATATATATATATATATATATATATATATATATATATATAATATTTTTTCCTATATTTCATATCTATGATAAAGTTTAATTTAGAAAATAGTTATAGTAATTAACAACAAAACTAATAAAATAGAACAATTTAACAATACACTATAATAAAAGTTATGGCAACATGGTCTCTATTCATGTCTTCCATGCAAAATTTAATGCCTTTTCCATCTTAACATAGTACATCATGTACTGTGGCTATAAATTTTATAGTTTGAGGTGCTATAGCAAAACTAACATGAATTTCATTTTCCTTCACAATTTCACGGATGAAAATTCATTCTTACTAGATTTTAGCAGCCTCAGTATACAATTGTTTATTAAGTCAAGAACTTTTACCTTTTCACTTAAAGGAAGCACTTTATGGCTTCTCTTTGGTATATCTGAATTGCGAACATCATTATTGCTCTTTGGGACCATTAAGTAAAATAAGGGTTACTTGAACACAAGTAACTGTTTGTAAACTGTTTGTTAGACTTCTGTTCCATTTTTTTTCTATTGATTCTTGACCTTTCTTCATTTTTAGATGATATAAATTAATGCTATCTAACCCTTTGTGATATAGTAGTAAGTTGCTACCTCCCACCCCCATCCCCAAAGACAAGTTTATTACTCATCTTTAAACTTCACTCTGAGCTTTGCTTTGAACTTTGCATACCACCTTACTCTGAGGTATAGGAGTTTGGGAAGAACTGGTGGGTAGAGAATTGGGTAATAAGAGTCACAGTAGTTTTTATGGAGATCAGAGACTTGATCATAATGGATAACAGGGAGGTTGGATTTCCAGTGGTAATTAATGTAAACAGGAATATAAGGTGGAATGGATTTAGTCCATATCATTGTTAATGGGTGTTGGTGATTTTTTTTTGGTTACAATTTGTTAAGTGGAACCTCAGGATGTCATCAGATGGTGAGCCAAGGTTCAATAAAAGACTGAAGGGGAAGTGAAATAGAGAAGTTTATTACTGACAGGTCCTGGAGGAGGTACACAGGTATTCCTCGAGGATACACATGGAGAAGCCAATGCAGGGGTGCACAGAGAGTGAGCAGCAGGACCTGGGCAGATGCCTTTATTAGGGTCTGTGGGTGGAGTGCTTTGGGGTTCCTAGGCTAAGGCTGGATTGGTCAGTTCAAACCAAAAAGAGTGGGTTTTTTATAATCTCTAATGGGGATGGGGTCTTATCTAAGGGGAACTAAAGGGGAGGGAGCTGGGAGGCAGGGGATACTTTATCACGAAGGGTTTTGGGGGAGTCGTATCAATCACATGTATATATTTACTTGTGATTCTTGAGGGCTATTATCTAGGGCATGTACTTGCTAGAGGAGCTACTGTCAGTTCAAGAGCCCTTCGGGCCAGTTACCAAGGCAGCAATATTATGGAATAGTTTAAATTCTCAACAAGGGTTGGGGAGCTTGGGCAGACTTAAGGTTCTAAAGATGTAATGTGATAAATTTGTGGTTCAGGAGCTTTAAGCAACTTAGCATCACCTGTTACAGTGTGCCTCTGATGTCAATTGCTTGGTGGCTCCTTTAGTGGACCTCGGTGGACGGGCTGCTCAGGAGGGAGTAGTTCACATCGGGCTGATAGAGATTTCTGCTATGGCTTTACAAGTGTCAGACTATCATCAGAATGGCCCATTTTTTAAAAAAAAATATATTTTATTGATTTTTCACAGAGAGGAAGGGAGAGGGATAGAGAGTTAGAAACATCGATCAGCTGCCTCCTGCACATCCCCCACAGGGGATGTGCCCGCAACCCAGGCACATGCCCTTGACCGGAATCGAACCTGGGACCCTTCAGTTCGCAGGCCGACGCTCTATCCACTGAGCCAAACCGGTTTCGGCTGGCCCATTTTTTTTTTTTTTTATTCAATTGGGTTTTTCTATTACAAAGAACTATAACTCTGCCTTTCTATAGAATATGTGTTTAATGAATGTTAACATAAATATTGGTTGTTTTTGTTCTTATTTCAGGCTACAGACAAGAGAAAAGCTTTAGAAGAGACCAAAGCCTATACAACCCAATCCCTAGCTAGTGTTGCTTATCAAATAAATGCATTGGCCAACAATGTACTCCAATTGCTGGACATCCAAGCCTCTCAGCTTCGGAGAATGGAGTCTTCCATCAATCATATCTCTCAGGTAACATCTTATAAATAGCTTTAAGCAACCGGCAGCATATGTCAAAGGAGTAGATAGCCTGGATATATGGATTCCTTACTCATTTTCTTACCGACTAACTATAGTTATTATCACTTTCAGTTTTAGCTTTGAGGTCACTAAACCAACTCTTCTTTTTTAAAAGTTTTTGTTTGTGTGGTAAAATATGCACAACATAAGATTTATCATTTCAACCATTATTAAGTGTATAGTTCATTAGCATTAGGTATATTTACATTGTTGGGCAACCATCACCACTTACCCTATTTCTCTTATAAGATCTTTCTTGAAGTAAAATAAATTGCACACAATTAAAGCATAGTTTTATAAAATTTGATACATACATTATCCATGAGACCATCAGTACATTCAAGATAATGAACATCCTTCCCAAATTTCTTCATACTCCTTTGTTATCCCTCTTCATTTTCTATACCCTGTCCTCACGCTTTCTGTCACTATGGATTAGTTTACATTTTCTGAAATTTTATATAAATGAAATCAAATATTATATACTATTTGTTTGTCAGGCTACTTTCAATCAGCATAATTATTTTGAGATTCATTCATGTTGTATATAAAAATAGTTCACTCCTTTGTATTGCTGAGTACGATTCCATTGTTCTACATTTTGTTTATCCATTTATGGTTCTTTTTTATTTTGGAATATATATTTTATTTTTATTTTTTAAAAATTTGTGCTTGTGCCATGCACTTTTTTTTTTCTCTCTTTCAAATCATTTTAATAACGCGGCAGTCAAAATACGAAAAGCAGACTCAAACTTGTTTTTTTTTAAGGGGGGGTGCTACCATGATTGCTTCACACAAGCATGATCTAAGGTAATGATGACACCAATTCCAAAGAGCAAGAGTGGTAAGAAGGCCTCAAGGCTCACAGACTGAAAAGCTTGGTTTCGGAAAAGTCTCAGAGGGGTCGCAGGTGGCCCTCGAGTCAAAAAGTTTGCCCACCCCTGGGTTAGCTTGTGTAAGAAATGATGGCAGAAACACCCCTAGAGGTTTTGGTATTTTGACACTAGCTGGTATACTGCAGTACTATTCTGACACTAACCACCTGGAATCAAGACTGCCCTCATGCCCTAACCGGTTTGGCTGAGTGGATAGAGCATTGACCTGTGGACTGGAAGGGTCCCAGGTTCGATTCCGGTCAAGGGCATGTACCTTGGTTGCGGGCACATCCCCAGTGGGGGGTGTGCAGGAGGCAGCTGATCGATGTTTCTCTCTCATCGATGTTTCTAACTCTCTATCCCTCTCCCTTCCTCTCTGTAAAAAATCAATAAAATATATTAAAAATAAATAAGTAAAATGCACTTTAAAAAAAAAAGACTGCCCTCACCTTAGATGCCAGTGGCGAAGTGGATTGTGAATGTTCCCCATGTCCCGCGTGGTTCAGGGTTCAGGATTTGGAGGAGGGGCCGCACGCAAATGAAAGAGACAAGACAAGAAATAATAATTTGGAAATATGGGGGGCCAGGCGGGCAAGCCCAATGCAAGAGAAAGGACTTCCACTGGTGCCCAGGCCTCGCCAGCCTTTTTTCAATATTGGATACACATCTAGCTCTTAGGCAGGTAATTGCGGTAACAGACAGACTATCTTAAAGGTCAGTAAATATTAGAAGGATTTACTCTGAGACTGTTTGATCAGGAAATAACTTGAGCCACCATTGTCTGGACTAGAGAATCCGTGCATAACTCTGGCCCTTGCCACGGTTCAAGGTTCACCAGCGTTCCGGGATCCTTGTTTGCTCTTCTCTGATAGTGAAGACAATGGGTGGCTTCCTGCAGTGGATCCTCAATTCTACCCACAGTTTTGACCTTCTGGCCACTAATCCCATACTCCCTCAAGTTTGATAATTTACTAGGATGATTCACAGAATTCAAGAAAACACTGTCCTTATGATTACAGTTTCATTTTAAAGGATACAGATCAGGACCAACCAAATGAAGAAACACATAGGGTGAAGTCTGGGATGGTCCTGAACAGAGGTTTTGTCCTTCTTTCTGTGAAATCAGAGTACATCCCCCCCCCCCCCCCCCACACACACACACACAGCACATCATGTGTTCACCAACCGGGAAGCTCACTACACTTTGGTGTCCAGAGTTTTTATTTGATGTAGTCATTTTTGATCAATTCATTGGCCACATTATTCGACTCAGTCTTGCCTGGCTGGATAGCTCAATTGGTTGTAGTGTGTTCCCAATATGCAAGGTTGTGGGTTCCATCCCTGGTCAGGGCACATACAAAAATCAACCGATGAATGCATCAGTAAGTGAAACAACAAATCCCCATTTCTCTCTCTCTTTCTCCCTTCCTCTCTCTAAAATCAATACTACTACTACTACTGCTAATAAACTCAATCTCTAGTCCTCTCCCACCCAGAGGTTGGGCTGACTCAAAGCCTGGACCCTCTCATTACATGGTTGGTCTTTCTGGTGACCAGTCCCCATCCTGACCTATCTTGTTAGCATATAAAATACCCTTATCACTGGGGAAACTCTAAGGATTAAAAGCTCCCTCCTAGGAACCAGGGACAAAGTCCAGGCAATTTTTTAAAATATACAATAGATACCAAATTTTGAGGTTTTATGACCTGAAATAATAAGAACCAAGGGATAATAATGTATTGGTTTAGTGATTGAGTCTGTGATTTAATTCTGTTCATATTGAAGTTTGTATAAAAGTCATACTGGAGGATTGCTTTGTCAATTTGTTTTATAAACAGTTTTGATGTCATAGAACATTAGGTCAAAGATGTAGTTTGTTTTTCAAAACAGCTTTTCATATGCTGATACTTGAAGTGCTGTGTATTTGTATAAGTATATTTCTCAAATTGATAATTTTATAGAAGAATATTTAATTTAGATAACTAAAATTTGCTTTTGAAAAATTATTTATTGATTTGAGAGAGAGAGAGAGAGAGAGAGAGAGAGAAGCATCAATTGTTGTTCCACTTATTTATTGGTTGCTTCTTGTATGTGCCCTGACTAGATATCAAACCCACAACCTTGGCATATTGGACAGTGCTCTAACCAAGTGAACTACCTGGCCAGGGCCTGAAATATCCTATTTTAATCATATTAATAGAAATCTTCCTAACATATGTGCCTTTTAAAAATATTTACAATTAGGCTATTTTATAATAAAATTTATAATAAAATTCAGAAAGTTTTATTATTTAAATACTAGAGGCCCGGTGCACAAAAATTTGTGCACTCGGGGGGGAAGGGGGGTCCCTCAGCCCGGCCTGTGCCCTCTCGCAGTCTGGGACCCCTCAGGAGATAACGACCTGCTGGCTTAGGCCTGCTCCTGGGTGGCAGAGGGCAGGCCCAATCCCTAGGTGCAGCCCCTGGTCAGGCTCGGAGCAGGGCTGATTGGGGAGTTGGGGCGCCGCCCCCTGTCATGCACAGAGCAGGGTGGATTGGGAGGTTGCGATGCCACCCTCAGTCACACTCAGGGTAGGGCTGATTGGGGGGTTGGGGCACCACCCCCTATCACACTCAAGGCATGGTCAATGGGGAGGTTGCGGTGCCACCCCCTGTGATGCACAGAGCAGGGCCAATCAGGGGGTTGGGGCGCTGCCCCCTGTCACTCACAGAGCAGGGCCAATCAGGGGGTTGGGGAGCTCCCCCCTGTCACTCACAGAGTAGGGCCGATAGGGGAGTTAGGGCACCGCCCCCTGTCACACACACAGCAGGGCGGATCAGGGGGTTGGGGCGCCACCCTCTATCACCCACAGAGCAGGGCCCATCAGGGGGTTGGGGCGCCGCCACTGTCACACTCAGGGCAGGGCCGATGGGGAGGTTATGGCTCTACCCCGTCACACACAGAGCAGGGCCCGTGGGGGGGGGGGTTGGGGCGCCACCCCGTCACACACAGAGCAGGGCCGATCAGGGGGTTGGGACGCCACACCCTGTCACACACAGAGCCGCAGGGCGATCAGGGGGTTTGGGCGCTGCACCCTGTCATGCTGATCTGGTGCCAGGAGGCCTCGCGGCTCCGCTGATCCCGGTGCTGGGAGGCATATTACCCTTTTACTATATAGGATAGAGGCCTGGGGGCCGGCTGGTTTGCCCTGAAGGGTGTCCTGGATCAGGGTGGGGGTCCCCACTGGGGTGCCTGGCCAGCCTGGATGAGGGGATGATGGCTGTTTGCAGCTGGTCACACACCCTTCAGGGTGGGGGTCCCCACTGGGGTGCCTGGCCAGACTGGGTGAGGGACTGAGGGCTGCTTTCAGGCTGACTGAAGCTCCCAACCGCTCCTTTTTTTCTTTTTTTTTTTTTCTTCTGGGCCAGCTTTAGCTCTGGCTCTAGCTCTGAGGCTTCCGCTGCTGGTTTGTTTGCCGTTCTATAATCGAAACAATGTATAACTTCAGCTCTGAGATCCCAGCCGGCTATATTTATTAGAATGTTTCAAACTGCCAGCTCAGAGGCCGGCAAGTCAGGCGGGGAACGTTGGAATCTGCAGTTACTGCAGCAAGCAAGCCTCATGTTCGCTTCCAACTGCCTGGCTGCTGGCCGCCATCTTGGCTGACAGTTAATTTGCATAAGGATATGCTGATTAGCCAATGGGAAGGGTAGCGGTCGTACGCCAATTACCATTTTTCTCTTTTATTAGTGTAGATGTTTTTATAGATTTCAGAAAGAGGGAGGGAGGGAGGGAGAGGGAGAGATAGAAACATCAGGTAGTCCCACTTCCCCACTTCTCCCTGCCCCCCCCCCCTCCCATGACAGAATTTACAGTTTTTCTAATCATAAAAAAATATCTGGGAAGTGCAGATTTGAATTAGTAATGAAATGATTAACAAACCTGATTTTGAGGTGAATAACCTCAAAACTTGTTTTCTTCTCATGGTTCTATTCTTTCTTCCTTCCTTTCCTTCCTTTCCTTCCTTTCCTTCCTTTTCTTCCTTCCCTTCCTTCTCTTCCTTCCCTTCTTTCCCTTCCTTCCCTCCTTCCTTCCTTCTTTCCTTACCTACCTACTTACTTACTTGAGGCCCGGTGCACAGATTTGTGCACCAGTGGTGTCCCTCGGCCTGGCCTGCACCCTCTCGCAGTCTGGGACCCCTCGGGGGATGTCGGACTGCTGGTTTCAGCCTGATTCCCTCAGGCCAGGCCAAGGGACCCCACCAGTGCACGAATATGTGCACCTGGCCTCTAGTATGCATATAAGATCTTTGGTTAATCTCTTCCCGCTCTCCCCAATCCCACCTTCCCTCTGAGATTAATCAGTCTGTTCCATGTTTCCATGCCTGTGCGTTGAGCATCTGCCTCCTGGTGGTCAGTGCATGTCATAGGTACTGGTCAAACAGTCAGCCGGTGGCTTAAGCTTTTATATATATAGATTATTTTTGTTAATCCTTACCTGAGGATATTTTTCCATTGATTTTTAGAGACAGTGGGAGGGAGAGAGACACAGAGAGGGAAACGTTGATGTGAGACAGACACATCCATTGGTTGCCTCCTGCACATGTCCAGACTAGGGCCAGGAATCGAGCTTGCAACTGAGGTACATATCCTTGATCAGAATCAAACCTAGGACCCTTCAGTCTGCTCACCGATAGTCTATCCACTGAACCAAACTGGCTAGGGCCTAGTCTCACTTTTTAGGGCTGATCACATTGGGGTCTGCAGTAATAAGATTGATTTGGGAAAGATGGGTATGAAATCTTTGAAGTTTTTACATTTTCTTTTCCTTCCTGTCTGCACCACAGATATCCCAGAATATTCTTTGTTGATTATTTGTGTCTCGTTGCATTTCCAAGATCAGTACTGTTTTCTCACAATGATTTCTGGTTTGTGAAGAAAGAAAAGGAAGGTAAATCTAGAGTTCATGAATATTATAAGTTGGTGAAATGTCAAGTAGGTTTATATTGAGTCTAAGATTTTTCTTTTTTTAATTTATTTTAAATATATTTTATTGATTTTTTATAGAGAGGAAGGGAGAGGGATAGAGAGTTAGAAACATTGATGAGAGAGAAACATCGATCATCTGCCTCCTGCACACCCTCTACTGGGAATGTGCCCGCAACCAAGGTACATGCCCTTGACCGGAATCGAACCTGGGACCCTTGAGTCCGCAGGCCGATGCTCTATCCACTGAGCCAAACTTGTCAGGGCTCTTTTTATTTTTTAAATGACAGTTGATGGTAGTATTTTTGTTTGTTAAATTTTGTTACTGGCCAATAAAATTGTTAACAGTACTTTTTCTTCCTCCCTCCCTGTCTTTTTATCTTTCAATTTCTTCTCTCTTCTCATCTCTTTTTAAGCATTTACTGACCTGTGAAATTCAGTTACAGTAACCCAAGCTGTTCCATATCTCAGTCATCTTTTTTCGAACACATGCATACATGCCAATCCACCATCCCACCTCTGAATGAACAAAGAATGAAAGAGACTTGTATCATCCAGCTTAGAGGACCCACCCATGCATGAATTCATGCACCGGGCCTCTAGTGTAATATAAAGTTACTAGAGTTTTCTTATATTCCTTGTGCTGTACATTAATATCTCCATGACTTATTTATTGTATAACTGGAAGTTTGTACCTCATAAACCCCTTCATCTATTTTGTGACACCCTCCCCCCCACACACAATGTTTTTATTTTAAGAATAATTGTCTGACAGTCAGTCTGCAGGTGTTTTGTGTTTTAGATTCTATTCTGATTAGTTAATATCCCCAAATATGATCATTTCTTGTAAGAAGAATTATAGGACAAAAAAATACTCCTGTGATGAATGTGAAAGAAATGAGCTTCAGAAAGGCTATTATTGAGTATAGTCCAAATCCTATCAAAGTGTTGGACGTGATTTTTTTCCTGATAATATTGATTTGCACCCCTTGTTACATGCTAATAAAGCTATGAAATCTTTAATGAACGAAGTAACAACTCTTAATTTCTAAGATTGCTTATATGAGGTGTATTTATTATCCACTATAAGCTTTAACTGGTTTAGTGTCATTTAGTAAACTCAGACTTAAGCACTGGAATGCAGATTGGGGAACAGAGAATCCTATATAAAAAAAGGCTAATATGCAAATCGACCGAACAGCAGAACGACTGGTCGCTATGATGTGCACTGACCACCAGGGGGCAGATGCTCAATGCAGGGGGAGCGCTGCTCAGCCAGAAGCCAGGCTCATGGCTGGCAGGCTCAGTGGCGGTGGTGGGAACCTTTCTTGCCTCCGCGGCAGCACTAAGGATGTCCAACTGCTGGCTTAGACGAGGAGCGGGTCTAAGCCGGCAGTCAGGCATACCCTGAGGGCTCCCGAACTGCGAGAGGTCGTAGGCCAGGCTGAGGGACCCCTCCCAAATGCACAAATTTCATGCACCTGACCTCTAGTCTATTTATATAAAAGGCTAATATGCTAAGTTTCCGACAGTCCGGGTAATGATGTCAAGAAGCAACACCTGGCTTCCTCTCCCTAGCTACTACTAGCCTCAGGTGGAAACACTTTACACTGTAAATATTTTACCCTTTGTTCTCCCTGTGTGATTTATAATAATGTGCTTTGTGTTGATATTTTCTGCTGTGTTAGGAGACTCGGTGGAATCCTATTTTCTTTTCATTAGCCAGAAAATGGAGATTTAGAAGGCTTAGAAACTTGACTCAAATGAAAAGAAGTAAGAAATGGTGGACCTTGAACATGACTTCAGGTTTTCTCACTGCAGAATATAGTCAAACACTGCTGCAGTTAAATATTTTACCCTTTGTTCTCCCTGTGTGATTTATAATAATGTGCTTTGTGTTGATATTTTCTGCTGTGTTGCTGACAATTACCTGAAAGAGAAGTTGGGGTGCTTCACTGGACTGGAAAAAGTTTAGCTACATCAGAAAGCAGGTCTAATTAAGCAAGTTTGTTCTATATCTATAAAAGGCTAAGTTGACTCGCGCATGCACAATACTTATAAAGCTCTCACTGGCGCCAATCCCACGCATGTGTTTCCATCTGTCATTGTCGATCGTGAATTTGGTTTTGTTGACATTCTGAAGCTGAAAGAAAGTGGCAGCATTGCACGGAAGTAACAATGGTGATTAAATATGATCATAATAGTGATCCAGGTAGATATAATTATCCCCGTGTAACCGAAGTTGCCGTCATATTCAGAAATGAAGATGGAAGACCTCCTTTTGAAAGGGACTTGCTCATTCATTGTAAACCAGACCCTAATAATCCAACTGCCATTAAAATGAAACACATCAGCCCTAGCCGGTTTGGCTCAGTGGATAGAGCGTCAGCCTGTGGACTCGAGGGGTCCCAGGTTCGATTCTGGTCAAGGGCATGTACCTTGGTTGCGGGCACAATCCCCATTGGGGGGTGTGCAGGAGGCAGCTGATCGATGTTTCTCTCTCATCGATGTTTCTAACTCTCTATCCTCTCCCTTTCTGTAAAAAAATCAATAAAATATATTTAAAAAAATAAAATGAAACACATCAGTATCCTGTTTCCTACATTAGATGCAATGATGTATCCTATTCTTTTCCCACATGCTGAGAAAGGCTGGGGAACGGATATTGCATTAAGACTCAGAGACAACAGTGTAATTGACAATAATACTAGATTCAACATGATGCCGAAAAAGAAAATTTTTCCACCGAATTTCTTAAAAGTATTGCTCCTTTGGGAATGCCAGGTCACAAATGAGAATTGAAAGTAGGTGCAATCATCATGCGACTGAGAAATCTTAATAGTAAATGGGATCTTTGTAATGGTACTAGATTTATTATCAAAAGATAGCGACCTAACATAATCGAAGCTGAAGTATTAACAGAATCTGTGGAGGAGAGGTTGTTCTGATTCCAAGAACTGATTTGTCCCCATCTGACACTGACCTCAGTGTTGCAATAAGTTTAATCAATTTATCAGTCATTGTTTTTATCAATATTGTTTTTATCTCATCTTTTTGTTGTTTTGATATGTTTTTGTTGTTTTTATGTAATGTCTTGTTATATCATGTTATTATTTATTAATCAATTTATATATTATTTTCATGTACATTTTACTAATTTTCTCTTATCTCTGACACATCTATTATAGAGAAAGGGTGAATAGCGTTATTAAGATATTTCTTCAAATTAATTTCCTTTCAATATGCACGAATTCATGCACCAGGCCACTAGCAATATAATAAAAGCTATTATTTCGTTTTGTTTTTCTGCATGCAAGACACTTAAAAAGCCTTTATACATATTAACTCATTTAATCCTCATAATAACATTGTGAAGTTGATCTAATGTTTTGTTTGTTTTAAAATCTCATCTGTTTTGTAATAAAAATTAGGGCATAGAGTGGTTTAAGTAACTTGCCTAAGGTCATACAGCTAGTAAATGGTAGGTAGTCTTTTAAATCTCTGCAATCTGGTTCCTGAGCCATTATAATACCTGGCATTTTTACAGAATTTAAAATATAGTATCTTTTTTTATTTAAAAATGTTTTAAATTATTTTTAGTAGAGAGAGGAAGGGAGAGAGAGAGAGAGAGAGAAACATTGATTGGCTGCCTCCTGCATACTCCCTATTTGGGATCCGGGCCGGTGCCCTGACTGGGAATTGAACCGTAACCTTGTGGCTCATAGGTTGACACTCAGCCATGAGCTACACTGGTCAGGCTATACTATCTACACTAATAAAAGAGAAACATGGTAATTAGCGTACGACCGCTACCCTTCCCATTGGCTAATCAGCATATCCTTATGCAAATTAACTGTCAGCCAAGATGGCGGCCGGCAGCCATGCACTGAAGTGAACGGGAGGCTTGCTTGCTCCAGTGACTGCGGACTCCAACGTTCCCCGCCTGACTTGCCGGCCTCTGAGCTGCAACTCTAAGAAACATTGTAACAAATATAGAAGCTAAACAAAACCTCAGAAACCAGCTTTCAGCCGGCTGGGATCTCAGAGCTGGAGTTATACATTGTTTCGATTATAGAACGCAAACAAACCAGATACCTGCTTTCAGCAGCGGAAGCCTCAGAGCTAGAGCCAGAACTAAAGCTGGCCCAGAATAAAAAAAAGAAAAAAAGAAAAAAAGGAGCGGTTGGGAGCTTCAGTCAACTGCCAGACTGAAAGCAGCCCTCAGCTCCTCATCCAGACCGGCCAGGCACCCCAGTGGGGACCCCCACCCTGAAGGGTGTGTGACCAACTGCAAACAGCCATCATCCCCTCATCCAGGCAGGCCAGGCACCCCAGTGGGGACCCCCACCATGATCCAGGACACCCTTCAGGGCAAACCAGCCGGCCCCCAGGCCTCTATCCTATATAGTAAAAGGGTAATATGCCTCCCAGCACCGGGATCAGCGGAACCGTGAGGCCTCCTGGCACTGGATCAGCGTGACGGGGGCAGCGCCCAAACCCCCTGATCGCCCTGCGGCTCTGTGTGTGACAGGGGGCGGGGCCACAACCTCCCTATCCGCCCTGCTCTGTTTGTGACAGGGTGCGGCGCCCCCCCACCCCCCCACAGGCCCTGCTCTGTGTGTGACAGGGTAGAGCCATAACCTCCCCATCGGCCCTGCCCTGAGTGTGAGAGTGGCGGCACCCCAACCCCCTGATCGGCCCTGCTGTGTGTGTGACAGGGGGCGGTGCCCTAACTCCCCTATCGGCCCTACACTGTGAGTGACAGGGGGGAGCTCCTCAACCCCCTGATCGGCCCTGCTCTGTGCATGACGGGGGGGAGCTCCCCAACCCCCTGATGGGCCCTGCTCTGTGTGTGACAGGGGGGAGCTCCTCAACCCCCTGATTGGCCCTGCTCTGTGCATGACAGGGGGGAGCTCCCCAACCCCCTGATTGGCCCTGCTCTGTGCATGACAGGGTACGGAGCTC